GCAAAAAATAGTTAACAAGGTAGACAAAGGGGCACATCTTGTTGCTCACCTGCAATCCTGCATTGGATGTTCGCCACGGTTTCATGATACGATGATTCTGGGCAGGAGCAGGAATGAAGATGCAAGACTTGCTTTGGAGGCTTATCATATTAAGAAAAGCGGAGCTGACTGTATCAGTGATACTTCCGTTTCTTTGCATGCCATCGAATATGAATTTTTGCGTACACATCTTGGTTAAGATAGCGTGTTCTACAAGTGTAATATGACAACACGCGTGTACATTCAGGTGTGTGGTGTGATGTGTTAAGGTTTAGGAATTTTTCGTTTTTACGTATACGATACGAAGCTGTGCGTGCGCATGCAATGTATGTGGTTTCGGCATATATATGCGTTGCTGTGTGAAGAATAAAGTAGTTGTTAGTTTGGCGTCAATCTGTTTCTTTCCTCGCCTTCTTTTTCCTTTTTTCCGTATTGTTTGCGCCAAAGAAGTTAACTTCTTTTTTTGTGAGACTGGGAGATGCTTAAATGAGCGCCTGCGCGAGCACGCACGCAATGTGCGCACTGGCAATGAGGGTTTTTTAGCTCAGCACGTCAGTAGGTGTGGCTGCCTTGCGCAGTTCGAAAGCACGGTCGTAATGTTCAGGCACAAAGACGATCATACCCGTATGATTGTCGAAGCGGAAAAAATGGCACGGGAACCAGAACGCTGCGTCAGCAAACCGTCGTTAGCTCTTTTAGATAAAGAGCTACGGTATCTGGCAAGTGGCGCACATGGTCCTTGAATCTGCTTTTGTCAAACGTTCACGTTTTGTCGATTGTTAAGTGCCAAGTCATCATTTTTTGTAGATTTTCGTGTTTTCTGTTTCTGGTTCAGTCATATATATGTGGTTTGTGAAAAATAAACCTTCAGTTGATAGTCTGCGCTTGTCCTTGTATCTTCTTGTCGTCCGTGTTTACTACCGCGCAGTTACATACGTCGATCATGAATCACCAACTCGCCCAATCGTCCACCTTGATCGGCTAAAGAAGTCGATTGCCGACATGCTGGCAATGTACGTTGATGTCGAACACAAAGCGTGGGATGCCGTCCTTCCGTACATGGCCTTTGCATACAACACGGCGATGCAGGAGCATCGCAGATATCTCTATACAAATTGGTCTATGGAAGGAGCCCGGCAACAATGCTCGATGCCATGTTACCCAACATCACCGACAAAGAAAACCTCGATGTGAGTGAATACCTTCAACGCACCGAAGAGGCCCAACAACTCGCGCGCCTCCGTATCAAGAACCAACAGACGACCGACAGCCGTCCTTACAATCTTCCATGACGCTTCGTGGAATACCAGCCCGGTGAAGGTGTTTGGGTGTGGACGCCAATACGCTGACGTGGACTCAGTGAAAAGCTTCTACGACGGTACTTCGGGCCATACAGGGTGACTCGACGTCTTAGCACACTCGATTACGAGGTTGTCCCAGACGGCATCACAAACACTCAACGATGCCGATCGCGACCTGAAGTCGTCCATGTCGCGCGCCTCAAGCTGTTCCAATCGCATTAACAAACTGAAACAGTGTTTTTTGTATTATTGCTGTATCGTTAATTTATCCCTTGTACTTTCTTGCATTATTGTTGTACCTTCATCTTCCGTAAGCATCAAGACAATGCCTTTTTCAGAGGGGGGCAATACCACGTTTTATCGCCCCAATACACTACACAATTTTCAGCTCAAACTGCGCCTGCAGTTTTTGAGCAGCTTCAGGACTGTAGTAGATCATTTCGATAAGATCGCGCCAACTCCGCGAACTGTACAGATTATTCTGGAACCTACATCATTGCTAGCGATAACGCTAGAACATTCGATGGCAAGTGTATAAATGCCGACGCACTTCGTCGTTTGTCAATTGATCGACGGGCGACGCTGCATGCACCCCTATCAGTGCAAGTGTGCTACCGTAACCAGACTTTCCCTTTAGCAGGCACAGGTTCGCCCAAATAAACAGTTTGATCTCACCATTCCGTCTCCTGCCTTCAGCCACGTCACGACACCGTGACAATATCAACCACCTGGCTTCATATATGGTGAACCCTAACTTGCATGAACATTATTTTAACAAACATTTGTAAAATCCTCACAAGTTTTCCTACGCATTCTATGCAAATTCCTGAAAAGAGAATATTTAAGTCGAAGGAACTTTATCTGTGGTCATTACCGAGGTCAATGCAATGAAATTTTTTAGCACCACCGTACCCAGTGTGTGCCGTTGCCTGTAAATCAACCATCCATAAACTGTGGTACAACAGCACTTATGCACGCTGAGGAAAAGTGACCATGCAGGAGAGGAAAACGAGCCACGTGCACCTGTCCGATTTGGAAATTGTTGTTCAAAAACAACACAAAAAAAATTTGCGAAGAAGGAAATTTTAAATCCTCGATCTGCAGCCGAGGCTACAGGATACAATTTAAAGTAGTAAGGTGTGCCTGAGGCTCTTTGGACAGGTTTGTCTCCTCTTGCGCTTTTAAGGAACCAGTAAAAATGAATATTGCAGAAGTATTTTCAACATAATTAGCATTTCACACTTCTGCCTTGGCATCTGCTGTGCCCAATGCTGTTCCATATTCTGGTGAATACTCAGTTTAGTGAACTTTCAGTTAAGTCGCCTATTTCCTTGGTTGAGTCCCTTGAGGTTCACTCAAGTGAGAGTTATGAAGAAATTGCTACCACCTATCCACATTAAACATATAACCCACTTCACTACTGCCACAACATGAGCCAGGCATGTGGAAGAGGTAGTGAACCAAGCAACACGGTTGTGTAAGCACCTGATCCTCACTGTTCCCGCTACCACTGGAGATGTCCCACTGTTAATACGGAAACCTAGCACTGCCGGTACCTGCTTCGGCTGCAGCTTGTCCCTGGTTACGTCAGAACCCGATAGTGCCTCACATATTTGGTGGCAGATCTTTGGTGGAAAAAAACGCTTGCTCAATAACAGTCATTGTGTAAAAGAACGCACCGTCAGCAAGAAAGGCCAAAGATGGTGTACTCTCAGACTTGACCGAAATCAAAAGTGGGATCAATAATGCCCTCAACCGTCTAGAAGAACAGACATCGCTGAGGTATGGCGATGGAACTGCTTCTCTCTTCAAAGACAGCAGAAGCGTAACAGAAATACAACAATCTGGTGATAAATAAAGCTGATACAATGTCTTCAATAAATAAGGAAGGGTGTTATTATGCTGGCACCTTATGCTACAGTTACAAATTGGAAAACCTGAATGTTCCTACATAAAGGGATAGCCATTACTGCACACTATGCCCCTCAATTCCCAACAGAGCATCGAATAATTGAAATACACACCACAAAGAGCAAAGATTTTCATCTGCAACCTTTTCAGCAATTCTTGAGTGCGCCACTTAGAGGGAAAGACGAATTTGTACCCCTAGGCAACTTCAACGCTCCAGCTCCACACCCCAACTTGGGCGACAGACAAGTTAAAGCAAAAATTACATAAAAGGATCCAGCCGGCTTCCCAGTGTGAAAGCTGATGCCCCTCTTCCATTTTACTTCCATGTTTTTCAAGTCTCCCCTTCGTTGGTGCATGGCTTCGGCCTCTCTCGCATGAACTTGCATCAGATGGCTTCTTCCAATGAAACTCTCAAAGAACCAATGTCCTCCCCAGAAACCACATAATAACTGGATTCCTTCGCTCAGTCTCGCTACTTCTGACACGTCTCTCACTCTTTCCCCAAGGCCTGACTGTCCACCAAAAAAGCCTCACCCTCTCGGTATAGGGCCTCACCATCGGACGAAGAAACCTAGACTAAGAACAGTGTAGCAGCTATTATCTGAAACTAGCAACCCTCCCACTAGACTAGATAGAGAACAGTGTTTGGAAACACTGGCCCTGAAACCAGACATAGCCATCCAGAGAAAAATTTGAGCCCCTTTATCACCTACTACATGCGCACAGCCCGGCTCAAATGCTTCACAGAGCAGGCAAAAACCACAAACTGTAGAGAGTAACGAAAACATCCAATGTCCACAACATCTCCCAACATGCCGAAAGAATGCTCATGCAGCCACAGCAAGAAACATACCTACAAACATGAAAACCTCTGCACAACTACTCAATGAGAGACACGTGGCAGCAGACTAAAAAATACAAGAGACTGAACTAAAGGCAACAAGAGAAACCTAATGAAACAAGCTAATGAGTATGCCACGCAGGTAAACGAAAATATAATTTTACACCGATGCTAAAACATGGGCAGCATGAAAGGGTGGGTGCATACAAACGTGACAGCCAAACACTGATCAAAGCTCTCAGAGACAAATTAAGCCAGGGGGTTCAGTGCTAAAGCATTCAGTACTTAAAGACCAACCAACGACTCCCTAGATGAGCCTGTCATAGCAGTGGATGCACATGACGTCAGACCACACCTGGAGAAGATGGCCTAAACTTCAGCAGTGAACGTATTGAGCAACTCTCTTAACACGGACATATGGGAAGCTGGTCCGGTTTCAGAACAATGGAAAGAAGCTGCTTCTAATTCTCAAACAAAAAAAAACTTCAAAACCCGAGGCTAACCTTACTTACCCCATGTCTCGGGAAGGTGTTTGAAAAAGTGATGCTGGCCAGGTTAATTGACTACATTGAAGGCACAATCTCCCATCAGTAATCTTGTACAGCTCATTAGTAGTAACACTTGAAACTTTAAGAACGGCTTTGTGAGGTCAAGAATATTCCACTATGTCATTAAGACTGCTATCAATATTTCATTGAATAATCATGATCTGTCCCATACAAATTTTTTTAGCTTAATGTGTGCTGCTGCCTTTTGTTTTCTATGCATGGTACTACCTAAACAACATACGGGTCTTTCTGAACCCGCATTAGCCCATAGCTGAATGAAAGCGATACACGTGGCATCCTGGGCCCTGCTAGTACACTGCGCGAAGGTGGCACATTACTCCAGCAAGTGCATCGCACTACCTCGGCGGCTGTGATTCGGTGTCGGCAGCTGGGGTGGCGGGATGCCGATGACCAGCTCCGTCTGGTTCTCCTCTTCGATCTTTTTCTTCAACTTGGTGAACATTGTCCCTACTTGGGTGCACCCTCTGTAGAAACTCGACGCATTGGCACAAGTTAGGATCTCGAAGCGATAACGCTTCAGCGAGTAGAGACACAAGCGAAGCAACGCTGAGAATCGCTAACCGGCGGGACTCGAGAAAGATAAGCTTTTGTCCATGACGATTGTTCAAAACTGGGCGATTCTCGCTCAGCTGGCGGCTGCGCACGCAAGCGTTTGTCCAACGCCTCCTGCGACTTGAGTCACAGAACACCTACCCGATTAGAGCACGGAAACTGTACCTTTGGGCAAATGTATCAAAATAACATGCAAATACGTAGCGGCCACGTACTGAACTGCAATACCGCGAGGCGAGATGGCGCTGGTAGTACCAACGCGAACCAAGAAATATCGAACCAAATACGAAGGGGTAGACACAGTATGCAGTGCGTGTGAAGAGGAAGGAGAAACTGCCGAACACTTGATAATGTTCTGTAAAGGGCTTCACCCTATAGTTCAGGATGATGGCGCAGAGTTTTTCAAAGCACTGGGGTTTAGGGACAGGGAGGGCAAAATAGACTTTAAACGGGTACACTTAACTAGAAGGAGGTTATCTGATTGGTGGCTAAAGTCAAGGCGCGAGTGAAAATTAACCCCTTCACTGCAAAGTACGAATCCTCAATCTCACTATTTAAAGGGAAAAAAAGATAAATATAAGGCTTCGTTCACTAAGTATTACGGCTAGGCGGCAATAGCCGCCGCCCGAAAGGGCACAGCCACAACCATCCATTTATCGAGGCACTGAAGGCCATATTACGCTCCTATCTCCGTGTTAGCCACCATAGCCATATGCTGATGGCGGCCGTGCAGCGTATGGACTGGCGGGCTAGCATCAATATGCTTCAGGGGGAGCTTAGGGCGGAACAGGAACAGAGGATAGAGCTTCAAAAACAGCTCGGAACGTCGCGTGCAGCGCATGGAGGCTAGCATCAAGGAGCTTCAGGGGGAGTTTAGGGCGGAACGGGAGCAGAGGATAGAACCATAGAGAAATAAAAAAAAGGTTAAGAGTGGACACTACAGTAGTCCAAGGAGGATATAAAAACCTCCTTGCAGTAGACCCCAGCGGCCCAATCGACCCAAGCACACCTGGTGGTTGGTGAGAGCAAGTGGCGTCATAAAGAAATAAAAAAAAATGGTTAGGAGTAGACACTACCATAGACCCCAGCGGCCTAATCGACCCTAGCACACCTGGTGGTTGGTGAGAGCAAGTGGCGTGCGCTTCCTGTAACGGTTTCACTGGCGCAAATTTTGAATTACTTTATGTAACCGACGTTTGGCTATAACGAAAGTTCATGATTTCAGACCACTTTACACCGCCCAAATGGCTAGTTTTTGTAGGTCGTTTTGATTTAGCAATTCCGTTTTGTTTTGTTCAGTGGTTCGTGCGAATTGGTCGTAACGTAATTTTTATTTCGATTAAGGTATAACAAAAAGAGATGCAGGTAATGATAATTCACTACTGTTTTATTCATCGCGCTTGTGTTTTTATTTTGGAACAAGTGATGAATGTATATATAGTCAAAGAGACAGAGTATCCGCAATGTTTTATTCAAAGGCAAGGTAGTCTCTGAGAATATAAAAAGCACAATATGACAAAGGTAGACAACAAATGCATATCGCCTTACAAATAAATTGTAACACATACAGAGAGAACACAGACAACGCACACACCGCTAGAGTTGGCAGAAGCCGAGAAGCTGGTGAAGTATGACGCACCGGGCCAGTGGGTAAGTAAGGATCTATGGCAAAAACACAGCGCACAGTGCTGATGAAGAAGGAAGAAGTGACATATACACAGCAATGAAGTCACGAATCAGGCCTGGGGTTAACCGAAATAATGCATAGAAAAAAAGAGCGCACAGAAACCACACGACACAATATAGCAGAAAGGCAAAGGTGCAGTGTGCTGGCTGTGCTTAAGAACAGCTAGCCCAAAATGAAAAAAAGCAGACTTGATGCCTGCTTATCCTCAGAAAGGTAGGGCTTTGCAGCTTGCTCACTACGTGAAAGACAAACTTTATGCTACAACACTGGCAGGTCTTGTGGCTCTTCTTATGCGTCGCCTTCATCAAAAACCTAAGATCCCAACTTATTTGCGTCTGGGTGTTGCTGTGACGCTTGCGAGCTAAAATAGATTGTAGTCATGACTTATCCAGAATTGGGGACCTTAATTGGTGCTACGAGAGCAGTATTACAGGGCTAATAAATAGCAGAAGGAAACCACTTTGGCTCATCATTTTTCACAATGGCTCTACATCGTACAATATCACTCACAAGCTATATAAAAATAAAATGGCAGCATCCGCAGCCCCATCAAACGCTACAAGTTTGGGTAGTCTTTTGAAAATTTTGATGGGCGAGATGAGGAAATTGATGAGAAGCTAAAATACCAAAAGCGTGATAACGTGAACCGTGCCCACTTCATACTGTGTTTCTTACCCGCTCGAAGACATTTCAACAAGCGGTTTTGTTATCGATATATTACTTGAGCTGGAGAGATAAAGCATACACAGTGACCAAGCGACCCACAGTAAAGTGTACAGTTCACCCGCATTTGCTACAAAAATACAGACAGGATACCCAACATTCTTTTTAAGGTTATGCAAATCACTTCGAGCGAATACACAGTGTCCCTACTCCTCATAGCGGGTAACCAAAACAATGTATGCAACGAAGGAGTGGTTAGTCCAGTTGAACTGAATATAAGCATATAAGACCATAATGAAGTCTGCTGTAACGAAGTAATAACATAAAGCTATTGCAGGATTCGGCTCAACTCGAATACTTTAGTGTAAACCCGCCGCTAATTGCTAACCTTTGAACTTGTCAAGCTGTATGCCCGAGATTGAAGACTGGAACCTAACCCTATCCAAGTTTCGGTTCACAAAACGCACATGCCAACATAAACGAACCCGGCAAAACATTTTCAGAAACTTCGCGCGACACCCAGCAGAGCAGAAATGAAAATCGCCAACACTTGACAGATGGTGATACAAAACATCGCACACTTTCAGGTGATGTGCAGTGGCCTCAATCATGGCAAGAAAGTGAGATTCAAGTAGTTGTACGTATGCAAAAGCTGCTTCTGATAGCACAGTGAGATTCCCAAAAAGTTTGCTGGGGACGTGGTATGCTTTGAGCATTGTGAAATACTGGTGGGTACCCTTAAGCGTCTCACTGTCGTCTTTCAGTAACTGTGGGCAACTGCAACCGTCACATGCATTCCGAAGGAAGTGTTTGATGAGAAAACCAGCTACATAATATGCAGCAGAGTCATCGATAATATGGGAGTGAATGTTGGTCGCAAGTTCAGAGATATCGTCTAGAGCGGGAAAGTCGTCGGGCTGTGGCTGTGCACACTCCTCATTATCCAAAAGAGACGCACTGGTGAGGGAGAATGGCGAGAGCTGCTCCTGGAGGAGGTCACATTCATCGTCCTCGACATTTCCAAAGTATTCTGACAGCTTGAAGTGTTTTCTTACGCAGATGTGCTTCAGGCCACAAATAAATTGTGCACCATTGGGGTTGGTGTTGCAACCCTGTTTTTGCCTAATGTGGCCAAATATGTTCTCCAGAGGATCCTGTTGAAGCCTGCGTGTTAACAGATATTCAAAATTGTAATTTTTGGAGAGGTCGTCCCATAGTTGACAAATAGCCTGAATTGTAATTTGCCAACCTACGATGGTTTGTGGTTGACGACTGCCAACAAACTGCCATGATGCAATCCAGGAAAGCTGGCATCGGAGGAAGTCAATGAGCTCTGAATCATTTTTCATGATTGCATGCCGCAGCTTTTGCAAAATTCTTTTTTACTCGAGCTGTTCAAGGCATCGAAAATCCTGTCCATACGATCACAAAATTGAGCTGTAGTGATGGCTGAGGCAGGCAGCACCTTTGCATACACCATTGCCGTGATAGCAATCGAAACTGATGCACTGAGGACCTGAGTTGCTCTGCTGACCTTCATATTAGAAAAAGGTTTCTGATGAACGTGCCGTTCAGTCAACTTTGGAGCCAATCGCAACCGCAACTCATGTGAGGATTGGTAAAGGCTTACAATGTGCGACCAGTTAACGATGTCATCCAATATGTATAACTTGTGTGCTTGGACATTATTGCGCGTTTTAATTAAATGCGGAACATCAAAAATGTAATACACCCGCTCACCATTAACTTCAACAAAAGGCTTTGCTACAGTCACTCTTAGTTGGTTAGCGAGACTTACATTTGGACTGCCCTGGTCACAAATGACTGCTTTCACTGCAATATTAATGCTCCTAAGCTCCAAAATGAGTGACACCAGCAAGTTATGCATAACAGATGATGGTATTGTGTGCCCTATAGTAAAAGCAACCGATTGATTGATTGATTGATATGTGGGGTTTAATGTCCCAAAACCACTATATGATTATGAGAGACGCCGTAGTGGAGGGCTCCAGAAATTTAGACCACCTGGGGCTCTTTAACGTGCACCCAAATCTGAGCACACGGGCCTACAACATTTCCGCCTCCATCGGAAATGCAGCCGGGATTCGAACCCGCGCCCTGCGGGTCAGCAGCCGAGTACCTTAGCCACTAGACCACCGCGGCGGGACAGTAAAAGCAACCGGTTGAACCCACTTTCTCGAAACACCAACAAGAAGAAAAACCAGTGCTCGATCAGCAATGGTCGAAGTGCGATGAGTGTCATCATCTGTAAAACCCTGGACAACGTCTCTTGCAGCATCATAGTACAAATTCTTTTTGAGTGCTATTTCGTCGAAAACTAAAGCGCACACTCTGTCCCGTTCATTCCAAGCTTGAGTATTTGTTGCAATGGAAGAAAGGATTCCTGGAATTATGCCTGGAGTCATCTTTACATGAGCTAGCCACTTCCTTAATGAACGCCGGGAGGGCAAAGAAAAATATGGAGCCAGAAATCGGTATGCTCGCGGACCTCGGAAGTTTAAGTGAAGAGCGAATTTCTTGAACCACACGGAAAACCGCTTGCCCTTGCGTTTGGGCCTCAAGCGAACATGTGAAAGAAGTTTAAAAACCTCCTCAGTGACGTGCGGTCGGATAACTCCAAGGGCCTTTGAAGTCGATGACGGTGCTTGGTGAGGCTGTCTCCACAGTCTTTTGATAGTTTTCCGCTGTGCTGCTACTTTGGCTTGCAGATGTTTAATGGTTTGCTTGTATTTCATTGATGGAGACATTGTCGCTGGCACACAGCAACGCACTGCAATAAACAAAAAAATGGATGTAAAACG